CACGGGGTCCCAAAGAGTCGGACAGGACTAAGCAACTTTCACTTTCACTGAGTAAAGCAGATTGCTCTCCCTAATGTGGTGGGGTGGGGGAGGGTCCTCATCTGATCAGTGGAAGACCTGAATAGACAAAAGGACTGAAGAAGAGAATTTCTCTCTGACCGACTTCCTTTGAGCTGAGACATTAGTCTTTTTTCCTACCAGTGGACTCAAACGAAAAATCAGTTTTGCCTAGGTCTTCAGGCTGCCGGCTTTCAGACTGTAACTATATTGGCAGCTTTCTTGGTTCTCAGGCCTTTGGACTGGAATTGGAACTACACCATCAGCTATCCTGGGTCTCTAGCTTGACAGCTTGGGACTTGTCAGCCTCCGCAATACCTGTGAACCAACTCCTTATAATAAAACCTCTCCATTTGTATCTCTACATATACACACACCTGGAACTCTGACTAACATAATCCCTAATTTCCTCAAGTGCTCATTACACGTGCTTTACCTACTTATCTTTGACATAAGATCATTCTATCCTCTTGTAAAAATCTTGCTCTTAACTTTTTGGAAATTGTACTATAACCGTTTTTGTAAAAGTTTTTGTTTCAACTGAATAACCATATGGGGGAGAAATGAATCTTGACATCTACTTCACACTATACACAAAATTTATTCCAGATGATTAAACAAAAGGTAAAATAATAAAGTTTCTAGACAATAATCTAAGATAATATACTCATTTCCAAGTAGACAAAGACTTTTTAAATAAGGCATAAAAACCATTGAATATAAACAAAAAGATGTAAATTTGACAGTTTAAAGAACCGCTGCACGTTGAAAGACTCCACTAAGAGAATAAACAGGCAAGCTACAGAATGGGAAAATGGATTTGCAATAGATTCATCAGAAAAACATCAAACAAATTCCAGCTGAAAGACATTCTACAAAATATCTGAACTATCTGATCAGTACTCTATAAAACTGTCCAGATCATCAAGAACAAGGAAGTCTGAGAAAATATCAACGCCAAGAGGAGTTTAAGGAGACATGAAAACCAAACCTAATGTGCTATCCTAGATGGGACATTAGGTAGAAATGAAGGAAATCAGAATAAAGTATGGACTTTAATGATAATGTATCAGTTCAGTTCAGTCACTCAGTTGTGTCAGACTCTTTGCATCCCCACGGACTGCAGCACGCCAGGCCTCCCAGTCCATCACCAACTCCCGGAGTTTACCCAAACTCATGTCCATTGAGTCCGTGATGCCATCTAACCATCTCATCCTCTGTCATCCCCTTCTCCTGCCTTCAATCTTTCCCAGCATCAGGTTCTTTTCAAATGAGTCAGCTCTTCGCATCAGGTGGCCAAAATATTGGAGTTTCAGCTTCAACATCAGTCCTTCCAATGAACACCCAGGACTGATCTCCTTTAGGATGTATACTAAATACATATTTACATGCATTGATATATATAATATAGCAATATTGATTAATTAATTATAGCAATGTACCATACTAATGTAAGATGTTATTAAACAATTGTGGAGAACAAAGTAGAGAATTGAGTGTGGGGTCCACAGAAACTTTCTGTATTATCTTCACAAATTTTCTGTAAATCTAAAATTATTCCAAAATTAAAAGTTTATTTTTAGGGATTTTCCTGGTGGTCCAGTCGTTGTGGTTAGCCTTTCAATGCAAGGGGTGTGGGTTGGATTCCTGGTGGGGAGCTAAGATTCCAATGCCTCCCACCAAAACATCAAAAACATAAAACAAAAACAATATTATAACAAATTCAATAAAGACTTTTAAAATGATCCCTATAATAAAAACCTTTTTTAAAAGTTTATTTTTAAAAATCAATTAATTTACCCAAATTTAGCTAGTAATCAAGTAATTTGCCCAATACAGCTAGTATAGAGTCCTTACCAAACCAAATGACTTCAAATTTGAGCTTTTTTAACTACACAAAACCCTTCCAATTTTACCCTCTATAGCATTATAGAAGTATTAGAAAGACAATCTGCGCAGTTCTGTAAGGGCAGAAAAATTTTTTCTTTTTCTTTTTTCATTTTGCCTAGCGCCCTATTGGTGTTTAGTAAAGCCGCTTGTTAACTACTCACAGAAAGTAAGTCACAGAGATCTAAAGAATCTGAGACTTTGAGAGAACTTGACCAGGTCCAGCCCATCACACAGGCATCAATACCTCCGGCTCCATCGAGAAGCTCACTAGGCTCTGGGTTCAGAGCCACTCCGCTCTGCAAGGGACCTGTGCTGCCATCTACCGGTAGCTCGTAAGCGTCGCCCTCCCCTGGACATACCTTGGGAACTCGTGGGGCTCCCGGGAAGTTGTAAGACTCCAGCGCTAATTGAATTACAGAACGTGTGTAACAGTCACACAGTTCAGTCGACACTTACACAAAGCGAAGGCTCTACTTTGGCTCATAAAATTCACAGACTTCTGGCTGACCTACCTCCACAGCTACAGACTTAACTCTTACTGCCTGTCTGCTGCACACCGTGGGTAACAGAAACTGCACTTCCTCACAGATTTGAGACTCCCGCCAACCAGATTCCCGCATTTTCACAGAATTCTGAAGCTTTTTGCACTACTTTGCAAACCTTACAGATCTCCCCGACTAGGGCAAATACGCGCGCTAACCCAGACGCCTTCACTAAGAGGCTCAAGTTCCGCAGGCAGCTCACACCAGCTCGAAAGCCTGGAAGGGCTCCTACCAGGTTCGGGCGCCTGCAAGCTAGCGCTTTGGCTTAGGTTCTGGCTCCCCGTCTCCGGCCGGATCCAGTCAGCCCAGGCCAGCACACAGCGGGCTGAGGCCCCGCCCCTTCAGACCTGTCATCACAGAAGCCGCACGTGGCCGGGGTGGGCCCTCAGGCGACCTGCAGCCATCACTGTCTCCTCGGCCATCCACTGGGGCCACCGCCGCCAATCAAAACCAGCGGTTCCGGGCTGCAGCGCCAGCGCCTGGGTGAAGCCAGCCAGAAAAGGGGCGGGGGGAGGAGAGGCTCCGAGATGGGTGGGGGCTAGCAGTGGAAGCGAGCCTGGCACCGGTTCTGCCAGCCTGGAATCCGAGGGGGCGGATCCTAGTGAAAGGCGGAGACCAGAAGGGGGCGGGGACCAAGGGTGGGGCGGGGACCGGGGTGGGACGAGAGACGAGCAGAGGTTCAATGTGGAGACGCCAAGAAGACGAGAAGGGGCGGAGCCAGAAAGGGCAGGACCTGAATTACCGGGGAGGAGCGCCAGGAATTAAAGAAACTGGGAAAGGGGACGAGCCCGGGGAAGGTGGGAGGTGGGACAACGGAGAGGGTGGGTCGTGTCGTTGCGGGGGCGGGGCTCGGACCAAAGGGGCGAGGTTTGCAGGCCGAGGCTGCAGCTAGGGCAGCTATGTAACTGCTCCAATCCACTACCTCCCCAGTTGCAACGGGACTCACGGAACTACAGGTGTGGGGCGGGTGCGCCTGGAAGAATGGACAAGTACGGAGGTGCGCTTGGGTAGACATGAGGAGGGAGGATCACGTCAGGGAAGGAGATCTGGAGAAATGCTGGGGTGCGGGTGCAGTGAAACAGCTGGGGGAGGAGGAGGGGGCTCAGTGTTTGGGCTAAGAAGTGCATTCTCCGGTACCCTTGTGGGGGAAGGGCGGGAGTGCTTTGTGAGGCTGGGAAGTACAATGTGAGGGGGTGAGGTGAAGTGAAGCGTTGGAGATGATACTTGAGGGGGAGGGGATATGAAGGCGCTTTAGGGGAGAGTGGAGGGGGCGTTGTGTGATGGGGATGGGCTGGTGGTCCAGAGTGTGGGAGGGACTGTGTGGAGGAAGAGGGTACGGGGGCTGTGGGTACTGTGTGAGGGGAAGGGGCTGCGGGCCCCAGCTGAGGAGGGAAGAACCCCGAGGGCCTTGAGAAAGTCTGGAGGCTTTGTAGAGACTCCAGGAAGAGGTTTTTGTACCGTGTCTCAGGGATAAGAGTGATGGGATTAGTGGGGTGAAGAAGCCAGTCTGTAGTGTTCCTGGCTCCTCAGCTCCTAACTCCACCTTCAGGCCTGAGCATTCAGAGAGGATGCAGGCCCCACTTGCTACTAGAGCTTGTGTGACTGTCTCAGTCGGCTTTGGATCTGTCTGGCTGAGACTGGGATATTTTTCCCTTAGCTGGTGTCCCTTCCCCCTTAGGTTCCGGGTAACCCCTCACTGGTTCCTGTTCCTCCTAGAAGCTTGCCTTAGTCCCTGTCTTTCCCCTCCTCCCCCGATTTGCCCTGCCCTTCTGCTCTGGGTGTGCTCATTCCCCACTTCCTTCCTCGCCTGGGGCCTGGCCTGGTCCTTGCCTGTCCTGGAGCTGTGCCATGCCCCAGACTTTGTACTCAGTGGCCAGAGACCTAGATAACCAGCTGCAAGGCCCAGACCTCACCCTCACTACTACCAAGGGCTCTCCCAGCAGCCCCCCAAGTGAGTGGTAGACACATTTTTACCACTTGTCACAAACTGATTTCTGCACACTTTTCCTAAAGTGTGTAGGGAACCCTAATTCCCTCAAAAATTCTGGGCTTCTGTGGGAGAGGGAAATGATGAGAAGTACTGAGGGTCTGCAGTGCATGCTTTGAGAGGTGAGCCACTATTGTTGGCTGAACTGGGAAGGGAGGTTCCAATCTCCACTGCGGGAGGGAGAGGGAATGGCTCCCCACCCTCCTGGCTTGGAATCTGAACCAGACTAGGACCTGGTCTCTGATTCCCTGAGGGGACTTGATGTTGTGCCAGAGTTCTTTTTGCCCCTGGGCAGGCTGCAAGAGGGTGAGAAAGCTCTGCTTTCCACACGGTGGCTGAATGAGAGTGACAGTGTTGCTGAAAGGGGCCCCAAGCCAGTCTCCCCGGGCTGAGAGACTGGCTGGGGAGGGAGGGGGTGCCAAAGCCAGACAAAGCCGTGGGGTAGGGTGGGGTAAAGAAGGGCAGGCTGAAGCCTTTTGAGGAGGAGCTGATTGCTATGGCAACACAGCTTCCCAGATTGTCTCTCAGAGAGGCGGGCTTAGGGCGGACTCTCTCCAGCTTCCTCAAGACTGAGGCATTTGTTTGAGTGGGTGGGGCATGAAGAGAAAGGGCATTGGTTTGCTATGCAGAGGCTGGAGTATATAGACTTTCTGCTTCCTTACAAGCAGCAGAGCATCCAGATGCTTGGACCCATCCTCTGAAAATGGGTAAGAGTGAACAATAGCCATTAGGATGATAGCAGCATAAAGTCGGAGTTCTAGAGACCTTCAGTGGTCATTTTTATACAAACTCATTTTACAGATTTGGAAATTAAGAGAGAAGAGACTGATATTTTCTCCATGTCTCACAGTGAAAGACCAGGCATTAGGACCCAGGTCTTCTGATTGCTCTTCACTCAGCCCAGGGGTCAGTGTTTCTTTGAGCCAACATTTATTGAGCACCTATTATGTGCCAGGCACTGATACTGATTCTGGGAGTACTAGCATGAATACAACAGAGTTGCAGCTCTCCTGGAGCTTGTATTCTAACCCAGGGAGAAAGAGATGTGTGTGTGGCTGCAGGGGGAGAGAAAGGAGAGGGAGGGGGAAAGAGGAAGAGAAGTGCCAGCTGGTGGTAACTGCTGTGAAAAAAATAAAGCAGAGTAAGGATTTCGGGCAGCTAGGTAAAGCCTCTCGATTGTACAATGCTGCTTGCTCTCCCAGGGCACCTGAGGCCTAGAACGTCTTTGATCCTTCCGCTGAACTACTGCCCCTAGACTTTTGCAGATGACTAAGGTCTGGGCCTGTGGTCTTGGCAGTTAGATAGAACCAGGTGGGGTCACCGAGGGATTATTTCATTCCTACAGTGTTGTGTGTCTACCTGTCTTCCCAGTAAGCTTTTACTAAGGTAGGTTGGCTTTTAGATTGGTACTCTGCAACTTTGTTCAGGGTGTTGAAAATTCCCTAAATGCTGTTCCTTAGCATTAGGGAACCAGCAAGGAAGTCAGCCCGTGGCAACTGCTTTTTCAGGGTTTTCCCCTGGTATGAGGTGAAGAGAAAGGAAGCTAGAGGAACTGTTACTCGTTTGTGCTTCCTAAGTCTAGGGCGCAGGGAGGAAGCGGGGGAGGAGAGCCTCCTTCTGCTGTCCAGTGACAACCTCAGTGCCCTTAGGGCCTGCACTACAGGCAAGGTAGGAACAAGGACCCTGGGGCTCTGGTGGCTTCTGAACTACAAAAGAATGCACTCCGCTCTTCCAAAGGTACGGCCAGGGAGCATGCCCTGCCTGATGCCAGTTCTCCAGGGCCTCAGTTTGGGTCTTCCCTTTTTTTTGGCTCTGGTGTTTGCCTCTTTTTTCTATGGAAGACCCCAGTCTTAGCAACCTCTTAAGTTCCAAATTGTCTGACTTCACAAGTGCAGAGGGAAATGTAGACAGGACTGTTTCTTTTCTTAGCTTGCCCATAGATCAGCCCCTCTAAAAAGTGTCTTTTAATGTCTAATCCTTGCAAAGGTTTCCATCCTGGTCATTTAAAGAATAGGGCTTCCCAGGTGGCGCTAGTGGTAAAGAACCTGCCTGCCTGTGCAGGAGAGACAGTAAGAGATGCAGGTTTGATCCCTGGGTCGGGAAGATACCCTGGAGGAGAGCATGGCAATCCACTCCAGTATTCTTGCCTGGAGAATCCAATGGACAGAGGAGCCTGGCGAGCTACAGTAATAAGAGAATAAGAATTAGGAATGCTGGTTCTGCTGCCACTTAATTTGGTTGGGTCTAAGCTGGGCTTGGGGCCCAGTGACTCAGGAGGAGGGTGGGGAGTTTCGAGGGAGTTGTGAGTCATGGGAGTGAGCTCTGTCACAAGAGTTGGGCTTATTTCCCCCTACTCTGGACAGAAGCCTTCCGATCCCACTTTCCCTGGGTGCTCTGCCTCCTTGAACAGGGGCTTATGAATAGAAAGAGTACTGGCAGAAAGACTGAAGCAGTCTGATCTCACAATGAAAGTTTAAAGACATAAAGAATGATGTCTAGGTTCCTGAATTAAAATGTATCCGTATCTCAGGAGCCCTTGAAGCCCTCTAATGTAGGCAAAACAACATTAATATATAGTAAAAGAAGGAAGAATACCATTTCTCAATGGAAGGAGATGAGATCCCACTTCAAGACACTTTTATCCTGGCACGAAGGAAGCTTCCTGAGCTTCAACAGCCCTGTGGTCTTTGGTTTGCAAGGCACGGAGAAATGATGGGAATGGGGATATTTGGAATCTAATATTGGAAGAGCAAGCTGACTTTGGGGATTGTCAGACTTTGTCTATGAACGCCCTAGGCCGTCCTATTAACCTTCTCTGAAGAGGAAGGGCGCGGTGAGAAGTGGGAGGCCTACGTCTTTGAAAGGGTTAAAAGGCAGGGCTGAGAGCTGCTTTGGACTCGGGCAGTTGAGGGGTTAAGGAGATGGGCGGGGCAACCCTAGTAGGCCTGCCCCCTTATGGACCAATGGACAGGCATCTTTTGAAGGAGGCGTGCCTCACGCTTGAGGTCGGGTGGAGGCTGGCCTCCTTTAGGCCAATGATCAAGATCGCTGCGATGTGGGCGTAGCTTCAGGGGGGCGTGGCGGCCGCGAAGGCGGCAGCGGGGGTGTGAGGGGAGCTGGGCGGGGCGGGCTGCCCCATCAGCTGGTAGGAAATGGCCTGTGAGTCAGAGGGGCAGCGGAGTCGGCTTCGCGGAGCCGGGGCGGCCACGGGGAGGGACAGTCGCGGGGAGGGGCGCGGCAGCGGCTTGGGGGCTGCGGGCGCCAGGGCCCGCTAGTGTTGCACACGAAACCGAACAGAGAAGAACCTAGCAGAGCAGGACTCAGCCTGAGCCACCCTTTGTCTGGGTTGGGGGCCCGAGGCGGGGAGGACCGGGCATTCGAGGGGAGGGACCGGGACTGGACCGAAAGGCCCGGAGCAGCGGCGCCGCGGCGGAGCCAATTTGGGAACGGGGTGAGTTTGTGGTAGGGGGAAATAGCAAATCTCTGAAGCTCCAGTACGGAAGGGTGCCTGTCCCAGGTTGTGAGGAGAAGAAAGGTGAGGCAGGACCTGGGAGGCTAAACAGGAGGTGGGGATCGGTCAGAACAAGGAGTCCTAGAGCCTGAATGCTGCGGTGAGTCTCCTGGGCTCATTTTGGAGGAGGTGCTAAGATTTGCTTCCTCTCCAGGAAGGGTGGAGAGCTCTAGGCCAGAGGCAAGGGGTTGGTGAGGTAGCGGAGGGTAACCTACCTACCTACAGTAGTGGTCCTTGGGAATGGCCTCCCTAGTTTGTGTAGACGCCTGTGGGGACAAAATGTAGAGCAGCTGGTAGCAGTTCTTTCTGAACTGGGCGAAGGTGGAAAGCACATGGAGAGGAATTCTTCTTGCCGCCTTCCTTGGTCAGGGTAGAAATGGATATCTTTATACTGAAGGGAAAGGGAGGGTTAGCCTGGGAGCTCAATACCCGCCTATCCCACCTCCCCGGCCTAGCAGGTGTCTGAATGTACAGACCCTATGGTATTCTGGGACTTGTTGTTTTTGCTGGCCTTGCTCCCTTGGCATGTTGGGAGCTGTAGTCCTTGCCAGCCACAGCCTGGCACAGCTGTTTGATGCCAGCTGGTGCCCACCCCTTCCCAGAGTGAGATTTGGCCTCTCCTACCCCTCCCCCTCCCCACGTCCTGCCCCATGAGTCAGCCCGAAGCCATGGACTACAGCCAGCCTGGCTGGGTGGCAGGGAAGTGAGTCTTCGAGCTTTTCATTGGCCGGGCAGGAACTGAGAGGCCTCTGGGGTAATAAGCAGATGCCAGTCATGCTGGGGTCAAGTAGGGCATCATGTCATCATGATGCTTCCCCAGGGCAAGGGCTGAAAAGGTCAATGGGATGACCTAGGGGTGGGAGTGCTAAGGAAAGGCCCTTGCTGAATCTGTACAGTGTGGGTAGAGGCAAGGAGGGAAGGGTTGAGTACAGGTTGTACCCTTTGACAATGCTGCCATTGGCATCCTGCCCTTTCCAGACACCCCACCCACCACAGGGAACCAGAATCTTCTTGAGCTTCCAGTTCTAATGAGAACTTGGTGAAACAGGATAGTGTAGTGTGCAGTGATGGGAACTGGTGTAGGAAAGCTTTTCAGTCCCTGGATGCAAAGCTTCCCTTTTTCCCTGCCTCCTGCCCCCGTTTCTGTTGTCCTTGATTCTCTGCATACAATTAATCTCCTGCTTCTCTCATGTTGGGAGTTCTTCTCGGCACTGTCTGCTGCCCCGATCTCTGGGGCTTGCATTCTACCTTTCTGAGTCCTGCTATGTGCCTACCCTTGTGCTTGGAGTCAGGCAGGGAATTCAAGTAAAACCTATCTTCAAGAACCCTATGGAAAAAAAATAAAAAAGAACCCTATGATCAGTCTTACCTGCAAAAGCAAGCAAAACTGTCCCAGAGTTACAGGAGACAGTGACACTGCCGTAGGTGAGGTCTCAGAAGAGACAGTTATTTATGGTTCAGGATGGCCAGAGGAAGTTTTATGGTGAGGATGGCACTTGGCCTAGCCAAGGAGGAAGGGTAAGATTTGGATAGGCATAAGGGCACATTCCCCCTGAAAGGGAAAGTGTTTTGTGGATAGCAAGCAGCAAAGGCTACTGACTAAAGCATAAGTTTGATCCTGCGTGCAGTGTTTTCTCCCATGAAGGAAGACAGACTTCGATTTGACATCCCTTTACCCAATATGGGCGCCTGAGGGTGGACGAGTTAGTGAAGACCATCTTGTACCCTGGCAGAAAAGCAGTGGTTTGAGTTTTGGGGTGTTGGATGTGCTGGGGAGGAGTCGCGAGGCACTCCAGCTGTCTGGCTGTCACTGCCTTATCTCTAGTTTGCAGAGCCTGGGGGAGGGGCAGGCCCTGGAGAGTGTCTTCTAGCAGTGCTTCCTCCACACCCTGCCCCCTCTAGACTTGTTTTTGGTTAGATTTGTTGCTTCCTGTTAAAGGGACAGACTGCTGGGGACAATTGGGAGTTTAATTCTGAAAGACCCACTTTGAGCTAGCCTGAGGTTTGTCCTTCCAAGGAGCCCTGATTATGGAGGATGTTTTTGTAAGACCTCTGCCCTGAGAATTATGGAGTGGCATTTGTTCCTTTAGAGATAGATAGATGGGAAGGAGTTGTGCAACACAGTGGCCTTGAGCAGGAGAGTTAAATTCTTGCCTTGGCCATCTTTCAGTTGTCATGGTCTCTTGGATCTTGGGGTTTCTCATCCCCCATCTCATTCAGGGCAGGAGTCCCCCAGCTGGTAGCTCTGACAAGTAGTCTTCCTCCCTCACCTCACGTGTCACATCCTATTCCAGTGAGCTAAGACATGCCACTCTGTGACTCCTTGTATAACCCAGTTCTGCCCTCTGGGCCCTGGATCCCGAGACTACTGCTTTCGTCTCTGCAGGGGTACTGTGAAGGAGTATGTCCTCTATAAACTGGAGGAGGATGTCCTGGGGTATCCTCTGTGAGCGCAGCCTTCCCACTGGCTCCAGAGATCCTGGCTTATGCCAGGCTTATCCCATTTTTCTCTCCTCAGGGTCCAGCTGAGCCTAGGAGCTGCACGGAATGGTGGCAGTCACCTTACCAGTGCAGCAGGCATGGACCGGACTGCAAGCTAGGAGAGCAAGACATCAGCCAGGAAGAGGGAACACACAGCTAGGCTTAAGGCCTCCTCATCGGGGTGAGTGCCAGAGAAAAGGAGGGGAAGCAGATCCAGTTAGAAACCTGAGCAAACGGGTCACCTGTTCAGCAGTTTTGAGGGTTTCCTCTGTACTCCATCAATCCATCTGGGGCGTTTGGTTATCTTCACCCCCCTGGAACCTCACAAGCTCACCTCTACAGTCCAGGGGAGGATCTGAATTTCATCTGGGAGGGAGACGATTCACGGATTCCTCTCACTATCTTTTCTTCTCTTCTCTTGCACAGATGTCCCCAGGCCCCCCAGCCCAAGCCCAGCATAAAGGCTGTGGGGGGGGTCCCCCCTGACCGAAGGCAGGGCTTCATGCGCCACGTGCAAGCGGAGACGTCTCCATCCTCAGAGCCAGAGGCTGGCCCTTCGCAGCCTGCAGTCAGGCAGGGGGCCCTCCAGGGTGGCCTGCTCATGGGCTACAGCCCAGCAGGGGGGGCGACATCCCCCGGGGTCTACCAGGTATCCATCTTTTCCCCTCCAGCTGGTGCCTCTGAGCCTCCTAGGGCCCTGAAACGGCCAGCCCCACCTACCGAGGGTCCCAGGGAGCTGAAGAGAGGCCCCGGACTAGGGGCCAGAGAGGGACTACCCCCTGAAGAACCACCCACTGTCGGGCTCTTGGGCCCAGAGGGACTGGGGCTGAAACTGGGCGTGGCCAGCCAACATTTCTGCCATCACGGCCTCTGTGTTGTGGAACAAGGAGGTAGTTCCACCTCACCTTGGACTTCGGGGGCCCGAAGTTCCCCCTTGCCCCCATCAAATGCTTCCTGCAGTACTTTGCACACCAGAGACTGGGCTTCCCCAGATCCAAGGGGACAGGGGTCCCTGGGGGTGTCCCTGGGGCCAGCCCCTCCAGGCCAGCTGCACACACTTGACACTGATTTGCACAGTCTTGCACAAATAGGGGGTAAGAGCCTAGTGTCTGGGGTGGGCAACGGGGGCAGCCCCTGGCCTAGGGAGTCCCCTGGCACTGCCAATGGGTGCAGCCCCGAGCACACACCCCCTGGCCCCGGACCTCCAGGCCCCTGCCCCACCAAGCGAAGGCTGCTTCCTGCTGGAGAAGCCCTGGATGTCAACTCTGAGGATGAGGGGCCAGCCCCTCGGAGGCGCCGGGGAACCCTGGGCCACCCTCCTGCTGCCAACAGTTCTGATGCCAAAGCCACACCCTTCTGGAGCCACCTGCTGCCTGGGCCCAAGGAGCCCGTGCTGGTAAGCCGGGAGAGGAAGTGGTCTGCTCTGACATGGATACCTGTGGGGAAAGGTGATGGCTCGGGGTGTGTTCCTGTGAGAGCTTGTGATGAGCCTGGCTTCCATCCAGTCTCCTTACCTAATCTTTCCTTTCCACAGGACCCAACAGACTGTAGTCCCATGGGGCGGAGGCTGAAAGGTGCCCGTCGCCTGAAGCTGTAAGTGCCCTGCTTCTCCCTGAGAATGGTGCAGAAGTCTGTAATTCTCTTTCCAACCCCAGGCAAGGGGACCTCAGGGAACGGGCCTGAGGTGGGGCCCAAGGACAATAGCAAACATCTCAGAACACCTCAAGCCAACCAGCCTGCTCCTGTGTCCTCTCCTCTACCAGGAGCTCCCTGCGAAGCCTCCGGAAGGGACCAGGCCTGCTGAGCCCCCCCAGTGCCTCCCCTGTTCCTACCCCTGCTGTCAGCCGTACCCTGTTGGGCAACTTTGAGGTAGTTCCCCTTGGATTCCTTGATTGGTGGGTCTTGCAGGAAGGGATGGTGGTATGTGGCTTGGATAGATAAGGAGAACAGATAGCATCTTTCTCACGTGTTTTCCTACCCTAACCCCAGGAATCATTGCTGCGAGGACGCTTTGCACCGTCCGGCCACATTGAGGGCTTCACAGCAGAGATCGGAGCTAGTGGATCCTACTGCCCTCAGCATGTCACGCTGCCTGTCACTGTCACCTTCTTTGACGTTTCTGAGCAAAATGCCCCGGCTCCCTTCCTGGTATGACCTGACCTCAACCCAAAGAGCATGAAGGGTTAGAGGCAGGAGGTATACTTTTTTTTTTTTCAACTGACAATGCAAAAGACTTTATTGGGAAAAGGCACTCAGGTGTAGCGCAGTAGTTGAACTGCTCTGGAGGGATTCTTGAGATGTTCTTACCTAAGAGAGTCAGGGCCTAGTGGGAGAGAACTCTTGTATGGGGCAGGGGCCAAGTCCCGGGATGAGAGACTGGGGAGATGGATGACTGGTCTGAGATCTCCCACACCCTACTTGACTGATAACTCCTTGTCCTTCCCAGGGCGTCGTGGACCTGAGTCCCCTGGGGAGGAAGGGTTACAGCGTGCCCAAGGTGGGCACCATCCAAGTGGTGAGTTTTCCCTGAGGGGGAGTGGGGAGTGGAAAACATCCCTTCGACCCTACCAACCTTGCCTGTCCTGTCCCCAGACCTTATTTAACCCCAACCAGACTGTGGTGAAGATGTTCCTCGTGACCTTTGACTTTTCGGACATGCCTGCTGCCCACGTGACCTTCCTGCGCCACCGCCTCCTTTTGGTGCCCGTGGGTGAGGAGGGGAATGCTGGCCCCGCCCGCCGCCTCCTCTGCTACTTACTGCACCTCAGGTGAGGACGGGGCCCCGGGCCGCTGGGCACGAGGCCCAGGTGCCTTTTCCACCACCCAGGTATGTCCTCCCTGAATAGGATCTCCCCTCACTTTTCATCAGCCTGGAGTCTTACTCTGATCACCCTGTCCTCCCCCAGGTTCCGGAGCTCCCGCTCAGGCCGCTTAAGCCTGCATGGCGACATCCGCCTGCTTTTTTCCCGCCGGAGCCTGGAATTGGACACAGGGCTCCCCTACGAACTGCAGGCTGTGACCGAGGCCCCTCACAATCCACGTTACTCACCTTTGCCCTGACTGTCAATGCCCTGAACCCCTTGTGGGCCAAAGACCTGCCCATCCTGCTCCATCCTGGACAGAGTGAACACGTGGAGAGGTGGCGAGAGACCTCTCAGGCTTGCATTAAAGCCTTCACCATGCTCATGCCCAAACTGACCTTTGGGTGTTTAAAGCTTCTGACCTTACCACACGCTGCCCTGTTCTGGGTCCTCCACGTGCCGGCCCCTCCCTTGGATTTCCCAGGCTGGCTGCGACGGTGGGGAGGAACTGGAGCTACCCTGAGGTTGTCCTAAGTTCCCAGGCAAGTCATGCCAGCATTGCCTCCCTGTCCTGGGCAGGGGCCATTTATTATTTTATTTATTTTTAATTTATAATTTATTCAAATTGGATTGCCTTGGTAACCTCCCAAACCTGATAATTGGCATTGCCCCCCTCCTTTCCCACTCTCAGATATTGCTCCAACCTCAGGAGTTGAAGAGGCTGATGTGGGGGCTGTGGGAGAAGTGTTCTCCCTCAGCTGAGAGCAGAGAAGTTATCCCAGAAGAACTGAGTCACCAGCCAAAGACTCAGCTTCCCCTACCCTTCCCAATGCCTTTCACTTCCCTGACCTCACCCCTCCTGAAAGCCAACTTGTGTGTGTGTGTGTATGTTTGTGTGTGTGTGTGTATGTGTGTGTTGTGTGTGTGGTACGTACGTGAGAGAGAGAGTGTGTGCATGCAGTTGCGCACACATCTAGGACTCTAGACCCTGGCTGTCCCTCTCCTTCTTCTGCCTGTGTCTCTTTGCTTTGGGGTCCTGACTGAGGAAGGTGTTCAGGGTACAGAGTCAGGGCCAAGGACTAGGGTGTCTCCTCCCTCCTGGCCAGATTCTGACCCACCTACCTCAGTTGGGGTGAGGGGCACCCCTCAAACTCAGTCATGTAGTTACCAACTACCCCATTCCCCAGTCTAGACTCTGACCCAGCCTTAGCTCTGATGCCTGGGGCTGGACTGAGGGGAACAAGCATTTGCTGAAACTTGAAAAGAAAACAACCCAGGAAAAAAATCGCACCTGGTACTTTTTTTTTTTTTTTTTAGGAAAAAAAAAGAAAAGAATAAATTCTTGTTTGGAAACTTGAACTGAGCCTTACTTATTCTGTTGGGGACAACATGGGAATGGGTATGGGAGGACCTAACTGCCCTTTCCCAGGGAAAAGGTGTGAGGCCAGGAGGTGTAGGGGAGACCCCCATGGTTCTTAGGGTCTGGTCTAGTTCTTTTCACATGATGGGGTGGCGTGATGGGGAAGGTTCTGCCATAAAAGCTGAACTTTGAATGTAGGTCTGGATTCTTATACAGGTTCTACTGACGATTTTAGCTCCTGAATTTCAGCACTCTGATACGTAAAATGAGGGACTATGCAAGCCCTATGTGCCAGATGTGTGCAGGGTGACATGCTCCAGAGAACGCTGAATGTTGGGGCTTTGTGCTGGACTATGTGTGTAAAGGAACCTGGCCTAATAGATCCTGACGGGGTAGAGGTAGAAAAAGCTATGGTGCCTTGGGAAAAGAGGGGAGGGAGAAATCTCAGTCCAATCACTGGGCAATGTTAGGCCCAATCACCATGGCAACGGGAATGGGGTCAGTCCCCAGTGGGAAGGCTGGGTACAACACAGCAAGACTACCAGAGAATGTCACTATGGCAACCATGGCTCTGAGACAGCGCCAGTCGCCTGGTCGCTATGGTGACAGATGGGGCTATTATACGCTCAGAAGGGTAAACTGAGTCTCCAGTGGGGGTAAAGAACTCTGGGAGGCTTTTCTGGGCCACTTACATATGAAAAATAGCCGCCAGTTGGTCACTGTGTTGGGCAGCTTGGGCTTCTTCAGAGAAAACAAGAACCTCCGGCCTTGGGCGCCGGAGATCTGGGTCTCACCCGGAGCAACTTGACTCACGCTTCTGCCAAGTAACCCTGATTGGCTGAGTATGGGAAGGGGAGGGGAAAGAGGAAGACCGGAAGTACATCCGGGGGAGTGGAAATACGGGAGGAAAGGCTCAGGTCCGGACATCTAGAGCGACCGCTCTGCTACGCGTCTCGTTGGTTCCGGAGGTCCCTGTGGCCGTGGGAAATGCTGGCGCGCGCGGCGCGGGGGACTGGGGCCCTTTTGCTGAAGGTGAGTGTGAGGCATCCTTTTCTAAGGATCAGGCCAGAGATCACCTGGGTTTTCATCTGGGAATGGGCCAGATTCTATGTTTGGGGAGAGAACTGAGGTCGGAGGTTGTGGTACTCACATGAGTCCCTCTCCGAGAACCTTTTAGGGTCGTGGTTTAGGAACTTGACTCCCGGACGGGCGCCGAGAGGGGCGGGGTGCCTGGCTGGCTAGGCCTCTGCAAATCCTCTTCTTCCCTTCAGGGCTCCGTCCAGGCTTGTGCCCGCGCCCCGCGCCGCGCCTCCTCAGGATTGCCCCGAAACACCGTGGTCCTGTTTGTGCCGCAGCAGGAGGCCTGGGTGGTCGAGCGCATGGGCCGATTCCACCGGATCCTGGAGCCTGTGAGAACCGCTTCTGCCCGCCACGGGCCAGCCTGAATCCCAATTCCCTCACGACATGGGGGGATGGGGTGAGACCTTGGTGTGGGGCCTGCCTTCGCCTTTGGTTTCTGACACCCTAGGCCAAACCCGGCAGGGCCCAGAGTGTTGACCGTCATACCCATCTTAACACCTTTTCCTATTGCCCTAGCATCCCACAGGCCCCATGTTGGGAATCTTTTCTGTTCACCCTCTCAGTTTCACCTGTCTGTGTGGAGAAGGCTACTCTGCTGGCTCCTGTTCCCTTGATTCTCCCTTCCCTTCAGAGGTCCAGCCTGACATTCCGACCCTTACCTTCCCATCTATCAGTGTCGTCCAAGTCTTCTGTTTTCTGGGCAGAATCTATAGTGATTGCCTACCCACTCCAAGCCTAGCTTGGACTCCAACCCTACAGTCCCATGTCCTTCTGAAGACTTGTGACTCCTCTTACCAGGGCTTGAATATCCTCATCCCTGTGTTAGACCGGATCCGATATGTGCAGAGTCTCAAGGAAATTGTCATCAACGTGCCTGAGCAGTCTGCTGTGACACTTGGTGAGGGGTGCAGGGTGACACGGGTTCTCTGAGGCCATCAGGCCATGGTGGCAGGAGAAAGAGCTCATGGGAACTCAGGGTCCTGACCTTCTTTCTCTCCTGCTCCCGCACCTACAGACAATGTAACTCTGCAAATCGATGGAGTCCTTTACCTGCGCATCATGGACCCCTACAAGGTATCTACCTTTGCAGCTCCAGAGTTGCTCTCCTTCCTAAAATCCTGCCCCAAGCCACTTACAGTCTCCATGCCCCTTTCAGGCAAGCTATGGTGTGGAAGACCCTGAGTATGCTGTCACCCAGCTAGCTCAGACAACCATGAGATCAGAGCTCGGCAAACTCTCTCTGGACAAAGTCTTCCGGGTAAGGGGATCTGAGCCAGAGTTAGGGTTTGAAGACTCATACCTGGCACTCAGTCCTTTCTGGGATCAGTCTCGGGACCTTCTTCGCCTAGCCTCCTGGTAGGTGAGTTGAGGCCATGGAGCTTCCACCTCTTGTCCTCCAGGAGCGGGAGTCCCTCAATGCTAGCATCGTGGATGCCATCAACCAGGCTGCCGACTGCTGGGGCATCCGCTGCCTCCGTTATGAGATCAAGGATATCCATGTACCACCCCGGGTGAAGGAGTCCATGCAGATGCAGGTGGAGACTGGGAGCAGTGGGGAAGAGTGCTTCAGGAGGCTCCAGTTGCATGGGAAACCTGGGCCCTCTTCCCTACTGAAATGAGTCCAACTGCAGATCAGCGTCAGGTCTTCCTTTTACTCTGGTTTCTCACTGCTTGGGGCTTCTAGGTGGAGGCAGAGCGGCGGAAACGGGCCACAGTTCTAGAGTCGGAGGGGACTCGAGAGTCAGCCATCAACGTGGCAGAGGGAAAGAAGCAGGCACAGATCCTGGCCTCTGAGGCAGAAAAGGCTGAACAAATAAATCAGGCAGCAGGTCAGCAGAGGGTAGAGGCTGAGGGATGAACAGGGTATGGGTCTTTGAAGGTTGGTAAGGACAGAAGCTTTGACCTCATAGATCAAATTCTGTTTCTTTTTTTCTTTCAGGAGAGGCTAGTGCAGTTCTGGCCAAGGCCAAGGCTAAAGCTGAAGCTATTCGTATCCTGGCTGCAGCTCTGACACAGCATGTGAGAGGCCCCTGGGTGGGAGTGCGGACGGGATTTGGCAATAGAAGGGGTTCTCTCTTCTACCCTAGGGGAAATTCCTGCCTTTCTGGTTCCATTGAGCTGCATTCTGTGATCTCTTGTATTGTGATTTGCGTGTCCTCTTTCTAGGAACCTGATTTCTCTCCACTTTCTTCCCCCCTTCCTCTCCAAGTCTGTGATCTCTGATTTTTATCCTCCCTGTGGCCACAGAACGGAGATGCAGCAGCTTCACTGACTGTGGCCGAGCAGTATGTCAGCGCGTTCTCTAAACTGGCCAAGGACTCCAACACCATCCTGCTTCCCTCCAACCCCGGCGACGTCACCAGTATGGTGGCTCAGGTTAGAGTGCCCTGAGGACCCAGCACCACACCCATGCCAGAGACCAAGAGCGTCCCGCCGCCATCTCTTTCACCATAGAGACTTTTAGAGTGCCCTGAGCCCTGCACCTCTCTGCGCCCCTGAATGAGACACTCCCTTCATCCCAGATGGAAGGGAACCCCTTGAGACATCCTTTTTTTTTTCTTTTTTGGCAGATACCTGTATTAGCATTTTGAGGGTGACCCTGCGCTGGGGAGTGTGTAACATTCCTAGAACAGACTCCAAAACTTTTAAGACTGAGGCTTAAGAGAGAGAAGGGAAAACCAAGTTTACTGGCCCCAGCTCGCCCTTCTTCCTTGGAGCCGTCGGTGTGTTGGGCTGTGCCCCCGGCCACGTGTCCTCATTGCGCTCTCTGTCCCTCTCCTCAGGCCATGGGCGTGTACGGGGCCCTCACCAAAGCCCCGGTACCGGAAGCCCAGGACTCAGTCTCCAGCAGGAGCAGCAGAGATGTCCGGAGCACGGGTGCGAGTCTTGATGAGGAACTTGATCGAGTCAAGCTGAGTTAATGGAGCTGGGCTTGGGCAGGGAGGTGGGAGACGGGGAAGCAGCGCTGGCAGACTCTGGCTCTAGCCTCCCTGCCAGGATTTGGGTTATTATTTTTTTATTTGAACTTTAATCATGTAATAAACTGGCCAGTGGCAAACCGAACACTGTCCTCTTTGCTTGGGGAATGAAGGTGGGAAAGTCACCAGTGCCTGCCTTGGATGACCTCTGCCAGCCTCCAGTCCCGTCAGGTCCTGAGGACCGATTCCTCCGTGAATAAGGATGAAGCTCATGTCAGTCATCCTGCCTGTCTTCAGGAGAAGCTGTGGGATATAGTGGAAGGATTAAGCCATACGTCTACCAAACTGCCAGCTGGGGAGAGTAGTCCCCCCTCTTGCTAAGTGTGGGGCTGTGAATTTGAGCAAGTGCTGGGGTTTTATTAAAGGGAAAGGACTTCCCTGGTAGAGCAGTGCTGTCAATGCTCATCCGGTCCCCAGGGACTGAGGACACTCATTCGTTCATTCAAAAACATTTAATCATGTCTGCCATGTGCCAAGCTCAATGTTAGACATAGGTTACAAAAGAACCCAAACCCAGTCATCCCTGTTTTCACAGGAAGCAGACTGAGGTACAAAGTGATGTGTGCTGAGGTGGAGGAGAGTTCTGGCTGAGGGATCCTGTGCGGAGGAGCATGCCACTGTGGGCAGCAAGGTTACTAACCCTGCTACTGGGCTCACGCTGCAAAAATTGATACATTCATCAGATGATGGTTTGGGACTAAGATGTGCAAAGACCTATGGCTCCAGAGAAGTTGGAACATTCAGAGTTGTTTGTTGTGGCTGAAGGGTGGGGTGTTAGGGGATGTGACTATGTGGCAAAGGCCAAATCTCAGGGAGATAGGGTCCTGAAAGTTTGGACTTTATCAAGGGGAGGCTGATGCGGGGGCATGAAGGGTTTTTTCCCCTTCCCATGAAGAATTTTAAGAAGATTAAGGTAATCATTGTTTTAGATAGAGCTGTCCTGCTGCTGTGTGGTCAGGGGATCTGAAAGAGAGATGGGAGGCTGGAAGGACAGTAAGAGGCTGCCTCAGTGGTCCTAGAGGGTGAACAGAGATAAGGGGCTTTGGGGATGAAGGCAGAGGGATATTTCAACATATTTCTGAATTAGAATTTATTTATCCATTTAATAACTACTTATTGAATTCCAACTATATGCCAGGAACAGAGGATACAGTAATAAAATTTCCTACTCTCAATGAACTTACATTCTATTTGGAAGGGACAAATCATTAATAAAGGTGCTGATGAGTTGTGCTACAGAGGAAATTAAAGGAAGGGAGGTGGGGAACTTGATGGGGCTGTAACATTAAGTAGAGTGTTGCAGGAACCCTCGCTGATGGTGCATTTAAGCTTAGATGTGGAGATGAGGGGAAGATACACTTGGCCATCTGGGAGTAAAGCTAATAGGAGATTGCAGACACACCTAAGGCAGAGAACGGCTGCCTTACTGGGGAGAGCTAAGGAGCTACGGTGGATGGAACAGACTTCAGGAAATAAAGGGCAGCTAGATGAATCAGATAAGGAGGTGGGGAGATGGTATGTAGACTGGTAGGGCCACTGAAATAATCTGGGCTCAACTCTGAGATGAGAAACGACTGGAGAGGTTTTCTGCTTTGTTTTAAATGGTAGTTTTTCTGAGATGATTCACATACACTGCAATGCACCTGTGTCAAGTGTAAATGCAATAATCTGTAATATATTCACACAGTGTGCAACTGTCATAATCCAGAACATTTTCATCACTGCTCTCCCATTCCCACCCTGCCACAAAACCCTGGTACCCATCAGTAGTCAGTCCTCTCTCCCCTCAGCCCTAGACAACCACTAATTTTATTTCTGTGTCTATAGCTTTATGTATTCTTATAAATGGAATAATATGTGCTATTTGGTGATTGGCTTTTTCTACTTAGCATGTTTTTAAGGTTCATTCATGTAGCAGCATGTAAGCCACTTGTAGTACTTTATCACTCTTTTTTTTTTTTTTACTGTATAGATATAGCATATTTTGTTCATCCATTCATCAGTGAAGGCCATTTGGGTTGTTTTTACCCTTTGGCTATTATGATAAGGCCTATTGGGAACCTTCATGTGCAAGTTTTTGCCTGGCCATATGTTTTTCATTTCCCTTGGGTATATACCTACGAGTGGAATTGCTGGGTTATATGGTAACTCTGTTTAACCTTTTGAAGAACTGCCAAATTTTTCGAAAGCTGATGTATCATTTTACATTTCCAACAGCAGTTGGACCATTCAGGTATGACCTAAATCAAACCTCTTATGATTATACAGTGGAAGTGAGAAATAGATTTAAGGGACTAGATCTGATAGAGTGCCTGATGAACTATGGACAGAGGTTCATGACTTTGTACAGGAGACAGCAATCAAGACCATTCCCAAGAAAAAATAAATGTAAAAAAGCAAAATGGCTGTTTGAGGAGGCCTTACAAATAGCTGTGAGAAGAAGAGAAACAAAAAGCAAAGGAGAAAAGGAAAGATATACCCATCTGAATGCAGAGTTCCCAAGAATAGCAAGGAGAGGTTAGAAAGCCTTCCTCAGTGATCAATGCAAAGAAATAGAAGAAAGCAATAGAATGGGAAAGACTAGAGATCTCTTCAAGAATTTTAGAGACAGCAAGGGAACATTTCATGCAAAGATGGGCTCAATAAAGGACAGAAATGTTATGGACTCAATAGAAGCAGAAGATATTAACAAGAGGNTGGATGAATTAAAAGCTGGAACCAATATTTCTCAGAGAAATATCAACAACCTCAGATATGCAGATGATACCACTCTAATGGCAGAAAGTGAAGAGGAACTAATCATCCTATTGATGAGGGTGCAAGAGGAGAGTGAAAAAGCTGGCTTAAGACTCAATATTCAAAAAACTAAGATCATGGCATCCGGTCCCACCACTTCACGGCAAACAGATGGGGAAAAAGTAGAAACCGAGACAGACTTTATTTTCTTGGGCCCCAAAATCACTACGTACAATGCCTACAGCCATGTAATTAAAAGACACTTGCTCCTTGGAAGGAAAGCTATGACAAACCTGGACAGCATATTAAAAAGCAGAGAGGTCACTTTGCTGACAAAGGTCCATATAGTCAAAACTATGGTTTTTCCATTAGTCATGTATGATGTGAGAGTTGGACCACAAAAAATGCTGAGTGCCAAAGAATTGATGCCTTCAAACTGTGGTGCTGAAGAAGACTCTTGAGAGCGACTTGGACAGCAAGGAGATCAAATCAGTCAATTTTAAAGGAAATCAACCCTGAATATTCATTGGAAGGACTGATGCTAAAGCTGAAGCTCCAATACTTTGGTCACCTGATGCAAATGGCCTACTCATTTGAAAAGACCCTGATGCTGGCAAAGATTGAAGGCAGGAGGAGAAGGGGACGACAGAGGATGAGATGGTTAGATGGCATCACCGACTCAATGGATATGAGTTTGGGTAAACTCCAGGAGTTGGTGATGGACAGGGAGTCCTGGCTTGCTGTGGTTCATGGGGTCGCAAAGAGTTGGACACTACTGAGCAACTGAACTGAACTTTCTTCACACCCATACCAATACTTGTTATAGCTATCCTCCTGGGTTTGAAGTGATATCTCCAACATTTTGCTGATGGCTAATAATACTGAGCATCTTCTAATGTGTTAATTGGTCATTCATGTATCTTCTTTGGAGAAATGTCTATTCAGATCCTTTGCTCATTTTTGAATTGACTGTCTTTTTATTACTGAGATTCAGTAATCTTATTATTAAGATTCAGTGAAAAACTTGAGAAGGATGAATAATAAAAGCTATCATTTGGAGTCAGCTTGGCAAAAAAGGGGAAATAAATAGTATCCCTATTTTACAGACGAGGTAATGTCCAATAATGACAGTGAGTGGCAGAGCGAGGATTCAAGCTAAGTTTGGCTTCAGAAGCCTAGATCTTAGTCTTAACCAAGAATGGACAGTGGTTCCCTCAACTCTTCTAGCTTAATGCCTTGCCCCGGATTCTAAATTACTGTACTCGCCCATTAAACTCCTCAGGCCAGCCGTGCGTTCCTTGCCGAACTTCCTCGGAGGCGCCAGCAGATGGCGACGAAGACCCCTGTGGGTCGCTCTATCCGTCGCACACACCTCTGTGGTGCCGGGCCGCAGGCGCCGTCGCTGCACTTCCGGGCGCCATTCAAGGTGAGGCAGGGGCTCCCAAACCCTCTTACTCTTGCTTTTCCCATAAATTAGGGACGCTCCTACCCCACTCACAGAGCTCTCAGTCTGGCGGGCCCAGTACCCGGTCAAGGTGTCCAGCCAGAGGCCGGACAGCCATCGGAGGAGGCAAAGCCATCTGGACGTCTGGGTCCCAGCGAGGCCCAACCGCCTTAAGACCTCGCGCCTCTGCCCTGCTGAGCCCGGGAGGTCGCGCTTCTGGTCTGGTTATCCTGGGTGTCCGGAAGCGGAGTTCGACTCCTAAGTCCCCGCCAGGCGGCGCCGTCAGCCTGGCCAGGATTCCCCTGTAGCTGCGAGCCTTGGCCACCCCAGGGGTGTTGAAATTGGCGAGCAGAGGACAAGCGGGCTATTGGAGAGCAGGCTACCACCTGGAATAAGTTTCCTCTGGATTGTGTTTTCCATCGTTAGGATCTCCTGACGGCCATATACAAATTCTTATGCTCCACCCTCACAGATCCTGATTCCGGGGATCTCGGGTGACGTTTTTAATTTATTTTTACTTTTGGCTGCCCTGTGTCTTCCTGGCTTTGCGTGGGCTTTCTCTCCTTGGAGTGAGTGGGGGCTGCTCTTCCTTGCAGTGCCTGGTCTCATTGTGGTGGCTTCTCTTGTTATGGAGCACTGGGCTCTAAGAGTCCAGCTCAGGAGTTGCGGTGCACGGGCGTGTGGAATTTCTCCCGACCAGGGATCCCACCCGTGTCCCCTGTGTTGGCACGTGGATTCTTGAGCACTGGACCATCAAGGAAGTCTGAAAGTAAGCATTTTAAAAACACCTACTCCAGGTTGATGCCGGTAGTCTGCACACCTCACTTTCAGAAACTCTCGTGTAACTGATGGAGAGGACCACTGCATTGGGTTGGCTATGGAACTGTTTATCTTCAGAAGAGCTT